CCCCCGCGCCGCCGGCCGTGCCCGCGCCCGGCCCGGCACAGCGGGGCAGCCGCCCCGGAGGGGGGAAGTGCCTTGGGTGCGGGAGGGGCTCGCCCCAGGTGGATGCAGAAAGGTGACATGGGAGCGCTGGGGGACCTGCGCTGGGGGTCCTGCGGGACCCGGCGGCCCGTGCCCCGGCTAGTGCCACCGCTGCTCGACGGGTGCCACTGCCGTGAAGCCCCTCGGCGTTCGAGCGACCCCGGCTCCACCTGGTGCGGAGCTGACGCGGCATTACCGGTGAGCCTCGCGGCCGGCTTTCCCTGCGCACCTGCCGGCCGGGCCTGGCGGAGTCGCGCCGGGGTCACCGGGTGCTCCCGGCCAGCGCAGACGTGCGCGGCGACCGCCGCACTGCCGGTGGTGGGCGAGCGCAGCGTAGCCAAAAAGGTACCACGAGCGGCCAGGGAGCGAACAGCCCTGGCAGTGACGTCGCACCGCACCGTCTCCCTCCCGAGTTCCCTCCGCTTTGAGGCTTTTTCGTTGCCTGGTCGGCTTGTGATTTGAGGAGGTCGTTGTTGTTTGGGGATTTTTTTAGATTCCGGTTTTGATTTTGGGCTGGTTATTAAATATATATAGGTTTGGTTTGGTTTGGTTTGGTTTTTTGGTTTTTTGGTTTTTTGTTTTTTTTTTCTCTACAAGTGCGGCTTATTTCTACTTGCTGTAAGGAGTAAGAAATGATGGTTCTCCCGAAACAATTTCCCTTTGATCCTTGAGTCCGGGGCTGTTGTTCTTGGTATCCAGAAGCCAGCAGTGCGGGGAAGAAATTGCGACTCTAAAGACCCCTTTTAACTTCGTTCTTGAAGCAACCGGCCTCTTTCGAGAAAGCAAAACGAGGGGATGCGGGTCCTGCCCCCGCGTCCTGCCGGAGTCCCCTAGCCCAGTCGCGGCCGATGAACCCTTGCCCTGTGCAGGCTCCCCGAGGCGGCCGGCACCCACCTCATACCCAGACCGAGGAAATCGCTCCTTCTCCACGAATTGTGAACTTCCGTATCCTCACTGGCCGGGAGAAGACATGCTATTTATTTAGGCTGTCTGGGATTTAAAACAGAGCATTTTCGAAGCAGGAATTTATGGAAATAAACGAAAAATAGCCCCAGCGGCCGGCGGCAACTGCGGGCTGCAGCGTGCGCCATCCTCGGCTGCGCTGCCCTGTGAGGGGACACGGCCAAAACTTCCTCTGCCGACTCATATTCCCCTCTTTGATTAGTTTTTTCTTACTGAACACTAAAGGGAGAAAAAAAATTCCCATGCAGCCGTAATTTATGTCTTCTTCTCTACCTCGGGCTTGAATTAACCTGCATCGACCTTACCTTTGAAAATTTTTCAAAGCTGTCCTTTAAGTGCCATTTTCACGGACATCTTTTGTCCTTTTCCAATTCTAGTTCAAATTTCCAGTCCAGATAATACGATTAATTCTCCATACACGTGATTGAAATAACGCACATAACAAGATAATATTACGGATAAAAATGTAACCCAAAGCCGACATATGCAACCAGCCGCATTGCAACCATCGACGAATATGAATAGAGCTCCCTAATCGAGACATTCGAAGAGGGTTAGGGAGGCCCCATTTAGCAGTAAATTCCCCGGTAATAAATCGAAACTGCTTTCGAAACTATGTGTCTGTTCCAGGTAGGGACTGTGTGCTTAGTCACTGAGCATGGGGATGCCTCCGCAGAGCTTCTCTTCCCCAATCTGCCCTTAGGCGATTCAGTCGCGGTGAAAGGGCAGCGCCGAATCGCTGAAGGTCCATAGGGCGACCCGACACGACGGCCGCAAGCCCATTTGGACGTGAGCACTATCTGCACCCACCCTTGGTGCCATGGGCGCCCACAAAAATCCACACTCTAGGTTTGGGGGTGTTATTTTAGATATTTAAGCCAGTCGGGCCGTATATGTCACTCGCTGGGGCACGATGGGCAGCGGAGATGGACGGCGAGACGCAAGGAGCACGCAAATACCCGCGGCCGGCAGTGGGACGGGGGGCGTCGAGCTGTTCTCGGAGGGAAAAGTCACCTTAGGTGACGCGGGGGGAGCGGGGGGCGTCCTGCCACTTTCAAGCCCAGTTGCTACCCAAACACAAGTAAACAGTGGGGCCGGCGCGGCGGGGCGGGCCGGGGCCGGGGCCGCGGCCGGGGGCGGTCCCGTCCCGTCCCGTCGGGGCGGAGCGGCGCGGCCCCGAGCGCGGGGCTGTGCGCGCCGCGGGGTGGGCCGGCGGCGGCGGCGGGCGGGCGGGGACAGCGCTCCACGCCAGTCACCGCTGAAATGTGATGGACCGGGCAGGGGGCGGCTCAGACTCGCGCCGAGCCTCGCCGGGGTCGAAGGCGGGAGGCTGCGGGCAGGAGGCGGCGGTCTATGCCGGGGCCCCGGGACCGCCGCGGCCAGAGCTCCCAGCCGCCGCCCAGCCCTCCGCAACATGCCGGTCGCCGCCGGGCCCCGGCCCCGCTGAGCGTCCCCGCTGTGGATCTAATGTCTCCGTGAAGTTGCCGCGGCCGCCGCCTCAGCTTTGCCCCGGGAGGAGCAGCGGGCTGCGGTAGGTGAGTGGCTCCGTGGCCCGCCCTGCCCGCTGCCGTCGGCGGGAGCGGGGCGGCCGCCCCGAGAGCGGAGCGTGCGCTCAGCCGGGAGCGCGGGGCCGCCGGGCTTACTTTCAGTTCGCGGCTCCGCGGGGGCTTGGGGTGCGGGTGTTCCCCCCTCCACGCCAGTGGCGCGCTGGTGCGAAGCTAGGCTACGGCAGCCTCCCGGGACGCGCTCTCGATGTCCTTCAAGTTAAACTCCTGGCAGGGAGCAGAAGGTCCGTGCATGGACTGCGAGCTAAGCCGCGGGTCTCGCTGGAGAAACCTCGGCCGGGGGAAACACCTGGCTGCGCGGGCAGCGGCGGCCGCTGCTTCGGGTGAGGCCGTCGGAGAGCGGAGGCGAGCCGGTGCCCACCCGCTCCCGGGGTAGGACGGCAGCGCCTTCGGGGATGGTCCCGGCCCCGCCGCGGGAGAACGGGGAGCGCGGGCCGGACCAGCAGGTCGGCGGCAAGCAGGTAGAGAGGGCTGTCCTAGCACCGGCCTTAATTTAATTAAGCTCTGCATGGAAAGGGAAAAGGAAGTGCCAAGGTTTAAGTAACATCCGTTTTTGGTTGACTTTCAACTCCTCCGCCCCAACACACCTTAATATAAATTTGCCTTAAAATCACGTTCGAAGGCGCTTTCTATTCTTTTTTTGATACGTTTTACTAAACTTACCTCCAAATACAAATAGTAGCAGATGTACCGCCATTCAGACAGAAGTGTAGTTTTAGAAGTTTCTACCTTAAAATGAGGATTTCGTGTTCAGAATAGTTTTCTCGGAGTTAGTTCTTGGACACCAAAACGAGCGTGGTGTAATGACACCCCCATACACAGCCTCCAAACGCGGCTGTAACAGAGGGAGCTCTGCCTTACAGAAACACTGCTCCTACCTCAGCTATAGCTCCCAGTCGGTAGCTCCGAAACCCAGCCTCAAACAACCGGGATGGAGGCAGGAGCCGCCGGAGCAGACAGCGAACAGTGATTGAATTTCTTCTGTTTCGGTTCCTCGCGGAAAGCGAATAGGAACTTACACTACGACATCTTTAAAAATAAGTCTCTATATATAACCACCCCCAAACACACACAATAAAACGAAAATATCTCCATATATAATAGTATCGATAACTGTCGCCGGTGTCGATACAATCACAAACGAGGAAAACTGGGAAGCAGCGGAGGAAGCTCCGGAGAGCCACAACTCTAAGCAAACGAAAATAGGAGTAGGCAGCACTGCACTTCACACCCGACCTCCTTGCCACATTTCTTTTCCCCCAGTCGGCCAATTGTACGGTGCCACAAACGTGGAGGAAAGATATTTTAAAAAACAGATTGAAAAGTAACTTTTCAGGCGGAGTGCCCGCGGTGTCAGCGGAGCGGCAGGAGCCGGGCGGCAGCGGCCCGGGAGGCAGAGACACCGCTCATGGAGCGCGGGCTCTGCACTCGGAGAGTTTCCTTAAATTTTGTTGTTGTTTGGAGGGGGTGGTTTAGGATTTTTGCGGGGGGAAGTCCTCTGGTTTATTTTGGAAACTACGCGTTACCAGACCCTCCACAATAATCCCTTGAGGTGTTGGGTCACCCTCGGCCCTACCTCTTGTTTACAGGCCCAGAGAGACCCCGGCGTTTGCTTTGGCCGTTTTCTTGGGTCGCGGCAGCCTCTTGGCTGCTGGAAGTGAACCCTTAACGAAAGCAAAAAAAAGGAAACGGCAGGGGCTTTCTCCCCGCGCCGATGTCCCACTGCCCCGCGGCTGGGGGAGGGAGGGGGGGAGCGTCGCCCCGGGTCTGCCGAGGGGACCCCCTTGCGACGGGAGCAGCGGGCCCGGCGGTTTCGGTTGAATGGGCTGAGTGAAACCCTCTGACAGTCACACACCGCTCATTAGCTCACGGCCCCGCCGCTCCGGCGAAGCTCCTGGCCGAGGGACGCCCGAAGGGGTGCGGGGGCTCGGCCGCAGGGCTCCGTCCCGCCGGGTCTCCGGTCCTTTCTCGGCCCCGCGACGCGGAGGGAGCCGATTGCGGGGCAGCGCCGTGCCAGGCGGCCCTCGGCGGGCCGGGAGGCCTCCGGGCCGGCCGCTCTTCTCTCTTCTCGCCGCCGCTGGGGTGGCTGCTGCGCGGGGGGCTGGGTAGGAGGTGTGCGTGCGGGATAGGGGCTCCTTTTCTCTTCTTCGGTTATCTTGATAAATGAGTTGTTGTTGAAGGAAGAAAAATAAGCAACAGAGGTTTATTTCCCCCCCCCCCCCCCCCCCCCCCCCGGGCCTGACTCGGCTCTCCGTGAACACCCTGCTCTATCCTGGGGAGGCCCCAGCCAGGAGGGGTCGGGGTCGGGGCCTCAGCGCCCGCAGGAGGCCGGGCGGAGGGTGGGAGGGACGCCGGGGGCCAGGTCGGCGCGGGGGGCAGGAGGGAGGTGGCTGCGGGGTCCCCGCGGTGTGCGCTGCGGGGGAAGGTGGCAGGGCGACGGAAAGCGGAGAGGTTTCGTCCCTGGCCGCGTCTCCGATGCGTCTGTATTTTTACACGATTCGTTTAATTTGAATTTGCGGCGCCTTCGGTTGGCCCGGTGCTGGGTTTTCTCCTTTTTGTTTTAATTTGGGGTGGGTTTTTTTGGAACGCTGTTTTTTTATTTATTTCCTACGTTTTAGCTTCTCCGGTCGAAGCGATCGCGCCGTGGGTCGGTGTCGGCCGCCGGTCCCGGCGGAGAACGGGAGCCTGTGCTGCGTCGGGTACTGTGGCCGCGGAAAGGCAGCGCACCGGAGCCGTGCCTGGCCCTCCCTGGCGCCCCTGCTGCGCTCGCCTCGGCTAAGGAGCACCATGCTTCTCTCAGTAAAAGTCTCTCTCTACTTCTTTCTCCCTCTTTCTTCCTAGGATTTTCTCCCGGTCTCAGAAGCCCATCAGAGGCACCAGCTGCTCCGCCGGCTTGCGCCCACCTCGGGAAGATGGGAAGCAAGGCTCTGCCAGCCCCCATTCCGCTGCACCCATCCCTGCAACTCACTAACTACTCCTTCCTCCAGGCTGTGAACACCTTCCCCGCAGCTGTGGACCAGTTGCAAGGTCTGTACGGACTCAGCGCCGTGCAAACCATGCACATGAACCACTGGACATTGGGCTACCCCAATGTGCATGAAATCACCCGCTCTACCATCACGGAGATGGCGGCGCAGGGCTTGGTGGACTCCCGCTTCCCTTTCCCCGCGCTCCCCTTTGCCACGCACCTCTTCCACCCCAAGCAAGGGGCCATCGCCCACGTCCTCCCAGCATTGCACAAGGACAGGCCTCGCTTTGACTTTGCCAACCTGGCCGTGGCCGCCACGCAGGAGGATCCCCCCAAGGTGGGGGAGCTCGCCAAGCTGAGTCCCGGACTGGCCTCGCCCCTGTCGGGCATTAGCAAGCTGTCCCCGGACAGGAAGCCTTCCCGCGGCCGCCTGCCCTCCAAGACGAAAAAGGAGTTCATTTGCAAGTTCTGCGGCAGGCACTTCACCAAGTCCTATAACCTTCTTATCCACGAGCGAACCCACACGGACGAGCGGCCTTACACCTGCGACATCTGCCACAAGGCTTTCCGGAGGCAGGACCACCTGCGGGACCACCGGTGAGGGACCACCACGACCGGGGTCGGGCCGTGGGCAGCCGGGGTGGGGTGAGCCGCTCGAAGGGCATGAGACTCAGCGGCTCCAGGAGCCACAGAAACAGCACAGGAAAACCCCCCGGCTCAGATTCGGAGGCCACGGAGGGACCAGAGCAGCCGAAACCTGCGCTTTGTGTGGGAAGGGCGCCCGCCTGAGGGAGAGCTAGAGGGGTTCACAGCCGGAGATTAAGATGCCGGGGCTTTTGTGCTTCTGAGTCGTGACCCTGGGGGGTGCAGGGAACAGGACGGGTCGCAGGTGGGCGCTTCCCTGCTGATCCCCCATCCATCTCCGCACGCTGCGGCCGGTGCTGAGAGGCGCCCGCGGCCGCAGAGCTGAGAGTCCTCTCCGCCTTCGGAGACCGCTCGGGACCGGCCTGCAGCGCAGATGCTGTCCCGGTCTGGCACCAGAGAGTGCAGTCACGCTTCGATACGAATTATTGCAAACGTTTTGAACCGGCCAAGAAGTTTAACCATACACAGAATAGTAATGGGGAAAAGAAGGAAGAGGAGGTGAGGGTGTCTGGGAGAGGGGTTCGAGTTTGGGGAAGCAGAGTCTGGGGTCGCGGGACCCACGCGCCTCCGGCAGCGCTGCTCACCCCACGGGTTGCCTTCCAGGTATATCCATTCCAAAGAGAAACCCTTCAAGTGCCAGGAGTGCGGGAAGGGCTTCTGCCAGTCCAGGACCCTGGCGGTCCACAAAACCCTACACATGCAGGTGAGCCTGCCCTTCCCAGGCCTCTCAACGCGTGTGCTGCCGGCGCTGTTCTGGCCCGGCTCGGTCCGGCTCGGCTCGGCTTGGCCCGCCGCGGGACAGGGGCGGTGACCGCCGGGCAAACGGGGCTCTGGTGCGGAGGGGAGAGAGGAGAGTCTGGCACTGGGCGGCCCCGTGGGCCCGCGGGGCAACAGCGGCCCGTAGTTACCTCCGCGGCCGCGGGAGACCCGCGGGGGTAAACGGCGCCCTTGGGAGACGGGCTTAAAGCCCGCGGGGACGCGGCTGGCGGAGGGGAGTGAGCCCCGGGTTGGGGTTTGTCCACGCCGCTGCTTCGAGGCGTTTGTCGTTGAGGGCTGCAGCCCTGTCGGCGGCGGCGGGCGCGGGGCAGCGGGCGGCCCGGCGGCGGGATGCGGTGCGGAGCCGTGCGGGGGGACCGCCGTGGCGGCCGGGCGGGCAGCGGGAGTCCCGGAGCGGGAGGGCGGTGCGGAGGCTGTTTTCCGTGTGCCCCAGGGGCGCGGAATATCACGACTCGAGAACTATAAAATAAGGCTTTTGGGACAGGATAGGGAGAGGTGGGCGGCCGCCCGGCCGCACGGGGCTCCTTTCGTTCGTGTCTTCCCCCGATATCTCAAGTTGTGCGTTGCGGTGAGAAAAAGTGCAGTAATGCGTTAAACAAGGTGGTTTGTGAAGGATTAATCCTTTGCTTGCTTCAAATCTGAACAGGAATCTCCACACAAATGCCCCACATGTGGAAGAACCTTTAATCAAAGAAGTAACCTGAAAACTCACCTTCTTACCCATACAGACATCAAGCCCTACAACTGTGAGCAGTGCGGCAAAGTGTTCAGGCGAAACTGTGATCTACGGCGGCACAGTCTAACTCACACCCCGCGGCAGGACTTCTAGAGCAGCCAGGGACCCGCGCCCGCTCCGGCAGCTCCAACTTGCCCACTTTACTCAAGGAGTGTATTGTAGGAACTCACAGATGCACACACACACACACACACGGAGACACGCACGCAGACTCGGGGCCAAGCTTTCCTACCACATGTCTGCGAAACTCGTTTAGAGAGTGCGGACTGCAGGATCGGGCCCCTCTCCAACCCACACCCAAGCGTAAAGCTCATCTTGTAGATAATCGCGGCTCATTTTAGAGCTCTGTACAGAACGTGTTTTTTTCTTTGTTTGTTTGTTTTGTATCGTGTCAAATGCACATCGATAACAAATCCTGGAGGCAAAGTATCTCTTTAAAAAGTTATTTCAAAATAAAACCTTTTTTTTTTTTTTTTTTTTTTTTTTTTTCCCAAATACCTCCCGCCTTCTTGTATTATTCTCTGAGCATTTGGGCTTTTTTTTTCCTGCTGTGTCAATGCAATGGCAAAGCATATTGAATAAATTTCCTAGCCGGGTAATTGTACTGTCACAACAATTTTGGTGATCGCTTTTGTTTGGTCTGTTCCACTGTCGCTGTTGTGTTATCTATTGTTAAGTAAAATGAAAGTGCCTTATTTGAGAGTTTATAGCTCTATTACTTAATAGTATGAATGTCTAAATATTAACTTCTGTACCTTTTTTTTCTAATTTTCCCGAATGATTTTTTTAAAAAGAAGAAAAACAAAGAAATATTTGCAAATAAACAAATCTTAGGAAATAATGCACAGAGCCGTTCTTACGCCAAAGCGGCTTATTAGTAACTTATTTGCAATCAGGCCGTATATTGTAAAAGTTACCCCTCTCACAGGAATTGCAGCAGGCAGCCTCCTGCCTGTAGACTTTGGACACGGGCAATTCACCTGCCTAGACAGGGACTTTATCCTGCAGAAGACGATTCTTTCCCGGTAGCTCTGGAAGCGAACAGCGAGGTGCCAATTCCGCCCCCCGCGCCGGGCTCATCCGCGGGCCCTGGCAGAGCTGCGGCACTGGGAGCAGGGATCCCCTCACTGCGTTCCTCTCCTCCATCTGCAATGCCGGGCACAAGTCACGCCCAGGGGCTTGGGCGGAGAGGGATTGTTCCCCCCCTCTCGGGAGACACTCACTCACCGTGGGGGCCCCCAGGCACTCCCCGTCAGTGGCTTTTGGCGACTCAGCATGTCCACTCCATGGGCCGCACGCTCAGTGCCCTCACCGGCTCTGCAGCCGGCAGGATGGTGGCACTGCACAACGGGCTCTCCTTGCCTGCCATCCTTGCAAGCCCCTCACCGGTGCCCGTGGACTCTTTTGGAAGAGTGTGGTGCCAACACTGAGGCATTTTCCCTAATATATTGCAGGGTGACTTGGATGTGCATCCCCTCATTACCATCCCGCTGCTCTTGTCACTCCTGGCACCCTCTCCACCATCTTGAGTAATTTGGGGCCCCAAAAATTTCTCTTTCTCAGGCTGGGGGCAACCATCTTCCCCTACTCCTCTGCCAAATGAAGGGCCAGGTTAGAATGGCAGGGAAAAATCTTTTCCCCAGGCCCAGGGAACCCTGTCCAAGGACAGATCAATTCCCTCACACCCAATTCAACAGAGAGGGCTTCACTCCTGGGCTCCACCTAGCAGAGTACCAGAACTCCAGGCTGGTCCATCCATGGGAAGGATTGCAGATCTTAGCATGCCCAAAAGCAGTATGGTGCTGAGCTTGTGTGGCTACATTGTCCCCATCCCTGGTCTTCACTGGTCCTCCGGCAGGGAATTCTGCCTGAACACTGTTAATGAGCAGCAGGTCAAGCCCAGCAGTGCCTGGGCTGCAGTAAGACCATCAGTGCAGAAAGCTCTGGTACATTCCTGCCTGCACTGCCTCCACAGAAGGCTACTGTAGGGCAGGGACTACAAGCCAGCCCTGCTTTGCCCCAGACCAGCCAGGTGAGCTTCCACTGGTACAGCAGATCTGACAGTGCCAAACTCAAAATTTCCTAAGTCAAGGCCTATGTCTCCATCTGCCCCTGTCCAGGAAGATGGGGAAGGAAAGAATGTTTCTGCAGCCAGAAATATTTGTCTACTGGCTGAAGAGCAGTCAAAGTTTATGTCAGTGCTATCTGGTCTCTTCCTCTTCACCGCCTCTGAACTTGTGCCCCTTCTTTGCTGGGGCTCTGCACCCCTAGAAATATCTTTTCCCATACCCTGCCCTGCCGTGTTGGCAGTCCTTGTCCTCCCTCTTCAAAATGCTTCTGTCTCCACACTGCTCCTCTCTAAACCTCTCTTCATGGGCATCTTTTGCTCCCTCTTCATGGGCATTTTCCCAATATCTGATGTCTTCCTGTCTGACTGATTCTTCTACTCTCAGTGCATTCCTCTTCTCTCAGTAGGTAATTTCCTCTAAGTTTCTCTATCCTTATTGTTCTCTGAGTTCCTGTCCCCAGGCCATTTTACGTCCCCAAGTATGCACAGCAAGGCTGGGATAACTCCATTTGAGTAAACACTCCTGTCAGGATACATATGGGCTCAGTCCGCTCCTCATAGGCCAAGTTCTGTGTGAAGTTTGTTTGGAAAGAATTTAATCAGATTAACAATATCAAAGGACAAAATTAAAGTGATTGTATATAGCTAAGGTTTTATTTAATTGTTTGAGGTTGCTTGTTTAATAATCTTCCCCCTGAGCAGACACAGCCTGTAAATTTATCTTCTAAGGATTTCTAAAGTTCAGCAGCCAGAAAAAAAACCCAAATTACTGAAGCAGGTCAGTGAGGAGCATCTCTAACTGTTGGTCCATGAACTGTTATTTTATATTTAAACCAGTAGCTATCATCTTAAAATGTCAGGGAATGATCTAGTATTTCTCTTTACTATCAATTCACTTGCCTATAGCACTGCCACACCCCATTCACTTTTTAAAAATTCATCCCTCCCTGGAAAATTTCAGAGGCAGCTATAAAGAACATGTTAAAATACACATATGGTTTGTTGGTTTTAGACCTGTTGGGAACAGAAACAAGCTCTGTAAAGCTACTTTTTGGGCAGGGCTAGGGTTTTTATAGCCATAAAGTTCCATCCTGACTTTCACAATGCAAACACTAAATACAGCAATATCCCTGTGACTGCCGTTTGTGCCTTTGTGAAGTATCCTTCTTCCCTCTGGAAGTTCTCTACTCAGTCACAGAGCACAGCACACAGCTCCATGCTTCTGCAGTTTCCCAGAGCTTCCCAAACCACCTGCCTCCTGCTGCTCTGTTTTACTCTCTCATTGCCACTTCTTTTTTGGCACTGCACTTTTTTTTTTGCCTGCACTGGCATGGGCTGATTCTGCATCTTTTACTGTGTTAGAGGCAGCAGCTGCAGTGCTGTAGCAGGAAAAAGAACTAGCTGTGCTACATACCAGGGAGAAAAGAACAACAGATAATAAGAATGTCACAATATTCTACATTTTTAGGGGAAAATTATAGCCCTCTGAGTTGCATCTGAAAACTGAGCTCTTTGCATATCAGTTGCTGAAACAGACACTGTCCACAGCTGATGGCAGAGCAGCTCAGCCCAGCTAATTGTGCATAAAGATTTTATATGTGATATACATTACTTAGCAATGGCATGTCATGCTATTCCAGCCAGCACAGACTATATCTGATGCAGTGTAAATTTGCTGGCAAAGCCCAGCTTTATACCAGTACCATCTTAGGAATATGCACAGCCCAGTTCTAAGTGTCAAACACTCAGCAGCAGCCCAGGAATGTGGCATGGCCATGTCTGTCTGGGTCTAAAGGCTGGTGCCCAAGGTCCCTTAGAGTAAAACACGTGAAAAACCACTATTCATTGAACTCCTCTCTGCCTGCTCTCCCCTTCCTTTTTCCTCTTCCTTCTTCCTTCTGACTGCTCTACTTTTGGATGTTTGGTTCAGGAGTTGCTTCTCTTACCCCAGACATCCTGTACTACACCCTGCCTAGTCTCACCTCCATCTCTTTCCCTACTTTTCCCCTCCTGTTTCTTTTTTGCTTTCCCATGTCTCATCCGACATTTCAATCTCTTTTCCAGAGCAACTTCCTACACGTAGTCTCTTTAGTTCCGTCTTTTAAACCACTCCAAATTCTACTTGTTGCCTCATTCTGTTCTTCAGCCATCAACCCGTATGAGCTCCTCTCTCTTCCCTGACCCTGAGCTCGTGTCCCTTGTGTGGTACTTCTCACACAGTGCTGGTCCTCCCTTGCTGATCCCATTAATTGATGCAATGCCCACATGGCACTCAAGAGACATCAGAACAGGTGCCATAGATGCACTTGGACCATTTTAAGCATGCTGGCTCTGACTCAAAGCCAGCAGCATAGTCCCAGGAGGACCAGGGCTGGTGGCACATGCAGCTGGTGGCAGCCTGGGCTGCTCAGCGTGGAAGCAGCTGTCAGCAGTGCTGCAGCCCCCAAACTACGTGGTTCCCATGAAGATCAAGAGGAGCCAGTGATTTCAGGTGCAGTGTTTTGGCCCCAGAATGTCAAGACTGAGTTTGTAGTTAGTCAGCTAAGCTGTACTGGTAGCTCAGAGCCTCTAATCAGTCCATACTCCTAATACTGTAACTGCAGATAGTCTTCTATACATAAAGTGTAGAAGAGTGACTGGATTTACCAAACTGCATTACACAAGGCTTTAGGCATATGTTCTTTTATTTTAAATTTGTATTGTGTTTATAGCTTATATTTCTCTTCTCATGGCATATTTCTTCCTTCCTACTTATGTAAACTTGTCTTAGTTATTTTTCCAATGTATAGCAGTGCAGTTATGACAAAAATAGGGTTACTACAAGCAAAAAGTTATTTTTATTGTAATGATTAAAATTACTTACTGACATCCAAAAGAAAGGTATCATGTCTGTATAAAACATTGATTTTAATATATTTTCAAAAATCTAGGTGTAGATGTTTATGAAATTTTTTACTAGAAGCTCCTAGTTTATCAAATGACATGCAAAAATATCTACACTGGTAACACTAAGCATCTTTCCTAGATCTGCTGAATTAAGGCTACGGAAGTGTAAGCTGCTTCCTCTTCTTAGAGCCCCTCTTGCAAGCCTGAACACCCTGTCCCAGGTGCAACTTTCAAACACTACTTGGGACTTAATGATGAGTGGAGCAGGACCCAAAAGCATTGGGTGGGACCCAAAAGCAGTGGCCTTTCACCTTCATCCCTACATGGTTAAGCTGGAGCGTGGTCACCTTTCCCTGAGAAAGTTTCTTCCTCTGTCAGCACTAGGGCAGACCTTTGCAGTACAGATTGACCAAAAAAGCATAATCTGAAATGTACAGATACAGAAAATACTGAGCTCCACCTGAAGTGAGTGGTGTATACAGCAGGGCCACGTTGGCCTGGCTGTATCATCAGGGAGAGCACAGTGGTTGTGTCCCCAGCCCACAGGCAGGCAGGGGACAGCAGGCAGGGCACAGCAGGCAGTGGGAGAGCAGGTGGGGGACAGCAGGCAGTGGGACAGGCAGCAGGGGGACAGGCAGGCAGGGGAAAGCAGGCAGGGGGACATGGCTCCAGTGGAGACCCCGCATGCTGTGCTGGGAGATAAGTGGCCCCAGGGGATGGACAGATGTCTCTTCTCAGATC